AAACCAACACAAAGAGACACTAAACCACCACAAAGAAGACTGGTAGAAACAGTCTCTCAGTTTGCTGCCGTTTCCTTCAACATCCACCTGGTGGTTTCCATGAGTTCGTCCTCCAGACTGAACTCAGAGTTCTACTGGAACGTCCTGAGAACATTCAACCAGCTGAACTGTGATTCATGTCGCTGCTCCGACAGTCTCAGCTGATTCCTCGACAACACAATCGCCTCCATCCTCCGACTCTACATCTTTACAGGTAAAGACTGAACCTTTTGATCAAACCTCGTGCAGCATCTGCCTGCTGCTCATGTCGTCATCTCATCCACACCGACTGCTTCCTCTGTCCTGCAGTTATGTTCTCTCTTGTCTCTGCTGATGTTGTGTGTGTTCAGCCCCTGAGAGACACATCAGCATCTAAACTGTCTGCCTCCATTGGTTTCCACCATCCAACCAGTTTACCCAGTTTACAGCCAACACAAGCACTCAGACATGCGGCCGTCCTCACCCAGATCTGCAGCTTGATCCTCTTGTCGTTGCGATAAACCGTCTTCACTTTGAAGTCGATGCCGACGGTGCTGACAAAAGAGTTGCTGAAGGAGTCGTCGGCATAGCGGAACAGGAAGGACGTTTTCCCTACGCTGCTGTTTCCGATGATCAGCAGTTTGAACATGTAGTCGAAGTTCTGGTCGGAACCGTCCCGCTGGCCGAAACGCTGGTCTGCCTTCGCCATCTGAAGGAAAACACCGTCAGTCACATGGCAACCCAACAAAACGCACAATCAGCTTTTTTTCACAGCCTGAGCTGACAAAACATCCTGTGAGTGCCGCTCAGTTAAATACGGCTGCGAGTAACAACTGTTTTCTGGATCAATCGATCAGCTGTTTGTTCTAAAATATCGGAAAATGGTAAGTTTGAGTTTCCTCCAATGTCTCGTTTAGTCCAAAGATGTTCAGTTTACTGTCATAGAGGAATGAAACCAGAAAACATTCAATGAAGAAGCTGCAACCACAGAACTTAGAGGCTTTTTATTTTATTTTTTAATAACTCAAGTTAATTAATTATCAAAACAGTTGGAGATAACCTATGGATTGACATCTAATTGGTTAATCTCTACAGCTGTAATAATATCAATCACTCAACGTTAAAGTATAATGTTATAATCTAATAGTAAGATGCTACGTTTGAAAGAAAGCTTCAGCAATTAAACAATTACTTCATTAGTTGTCAACCAAGAAATTAATCTCCAACTATTTTGATAGTCAGTTAATCAAACAACCGTTTCTGACATTTTAGGAACCAAACAGCTGATTGGTTGATTGGTTCTTCCACAGAATAATTGTTAGAATTTGAACATGACTCAAAACATGAAGCAGCAAACAGCCACATTAAAACCATTTTTAAAAATGCTCTTGTTTCTGAGATAAGGTCTGATGTGAGCTGCAGGATTCACTTTGTTGCGTGCAGTACAGATGCAAAGATGCAACTCTGACTCACTGAATCTAAATCTGATTTTACTTTGGGTCAGCGCTCTGCTACGTCCTCACTGAGTTAACGTATGTAAATGTAGAGAATCAGTGCAGTTGTATTTTTCTCTGTGTAACGACCGAACAGGCTGCACAAAGAGCAGCACTGCTGTTTAACACGTCATGATGCTGCTCCATGCTTCTACTGAACTCATGTTAAAGGCTGCTAGCAGTTGAACAGCTTCTCCTACTTTGCACTCAACAGATCTGCTGCACACGAGCTCAGAGCTGCTTTCAGTCGGATACAATTCAGGGAGCTGCATCAACAAACACTGCTGTCCATGCAGCCATGCAGGCAGGTGCAGCTGCAGACAAGCTTCAGGTCGCAGTGAATGAAGCTGAGCTGCAGGTCGCAGTGAATGAAGCTGCAGATGAGTCACAGCTGATGTCCGGATGCTTCGTCGGCGCCGGAGGAGGAAGAGCCATCTGACATGGTGACTGCAGTCGTGGGTTTGTGATCATGTGACTCATCTGGAACCATTTGGTGGAAAATGACTGAGTGACTTTGTTCTACTGATTCTGAGCTGCTGCAGCTCATCAGTCTGTCAACATTTTCTGCTAATATCTGTTCCATCAGCTGTAGGTAAGGAAAAGAAGCTAAGCTATAAATAAAGGGGAATAAACGTGTGAGTCTCTGTGTATAAACATCATGCAGATGCTAATCACGTTTGTCACAGTTAAACTGACTTCGCTGATGTTTGTGGCTGTGAGCAGGAACACTGACGTGTTGTCGCCTTCTGCGCGTGATGAACTTGTTAGTGTTCAGTTGTTTATTACAGACATTGTGGTGCAACATTATCATTCATTTGGACTTCAGTTTGTGTCCACCTGGTTAATGCAAATCTAATCTTCAGTCCACTTTAGGCTCTGTTTTGGTCTCCATCATCCCTCCTTCAGCTGCTCCATATTTCTCCTTGTTCATTCGTACATGTGAAAACACATAATGCTGAGCGTGACCAGGAGTCGTTCCATATAAAACCAAACAATCTGAACAAAGGTCCTCCTCAGAACATCTGGTTCTGTATCTGCTGTACCTTTATCAAATGATCAGAGTTCTACCTTCAGACTGTGAATGTTCCAGGTCCTTTAAAGTCCATAGATCAGGTTCTCATCCATTCAGGTGTCACAGTCTGGTGATCTGGTGAGTTTTGTTCGTGGTTCAAATGTTTTAGAGATTAGCCGAAGCTGCTGTAGGAAGTAACTAAACCTGATGGACTGAGAGGCAGGTGCTCATTATGATTGGTTCTCCTGGAAGTGGTGAGGGGGCGGAGCTACACAGAGCTGGACCAGAATCAGATCCACCAGATGGGACCTTTAAAGATCAGGAGCTCAAAGACTGATGCAGAAAAGGAACAAACTGGTGCATAAAAATCACCAGAATTCAGAACATTCAGTGTTCAACACTCAGAATGTTTGTACATGTGATCACATGTATGAAGGAGGAGAACATACAACAGAACATGTGTCTGATTATCCATCAGGCCTCCTGACTGACAGGCTGAGCTCAGATCAATATCAGAACAATCAGTCATTAGCTGATAGATGTGATCAGAGCATCTTCATCACCACAAACACACAGAGACACAACACAAGCCTCTCTGTGTGTGTGTGTGTGTGTGTGTGTGTGTGTGTGTGTTTTACCTCTGTTGGGCGGATCTGATCTGATTCCTGATTCTGTGATTCTTTGCTTCTCTCTCGGCTCCAGACACAAAGACCGTTTCCTCCGCGGCAGCAGCGGCTCGGTCCGCTCAGTGAATCCGGGGATGAGTCAGAGGTTCTGGGCGGAGCGGCTCCGGTGAGCGGGGCGGATGTTCCCGGTGACAGTAAAGCGTCTCTCCGCTGACATGCTCCGGTTCTCCGCTGCTCGGTGATCGTCTGCTTCCTCCTCCAGCATCCAGCAGCGTCTCCTCCGTCACCGAACCGACCTCTGAGAGCTGCGGGCGGAGCCAATCAGAGCACGGAGCTGTGACTCATAGCGGGAGGAGGGGGGCGAGGGAGAACTTTGACCTTTAACGGTTTATTGATTGATTGATTGAATGATTTTTATTCACAATAAAAACGTTAAATTCTAACTTCCGTCTGTTTGTTTTGATTCTCCACAAAAACATCAGCTCAAAGCCTTCATCATCCAGGTTCCTCCAGGTTCCTCCAGGTTCCTCCAGGTTCCTCCAGGTGCCTCCAGGTCCCTTCAGGTGCCTCCAGGTCCCTTCAGGTCTCTTCAGGTCCCTTCAGGTTCCTCCAGGTCCCTTCAGGTTTCTCTAGGTCCAGGTCTCTTCAGGTTCCTCCAGGTCCCTTCAGGTTCCTCCAGGTCCCTTCAGGTTCCCCCAGTTTCCTCCAGGTGCCTCCAGGTGCCTCCAGGTCCCTTCAGGTCTCTTCAGGTCACCTCAGGTTCCTCCAGGTCCCTTCAGGTTTCTCTAGGTCCAGGTCCCTTCAGGTTCCTCCAGGTGTCTCTAGGTTCCTCCAGGTCCCTTCAGGTTCCTTCAGGTTCCCCCAGTTTCCTCCAGGTGCCTCCAGGTTCCTCCAGGTGCCTCTAGGTTCCTCCAGGTCCCTTCAGGTTCCTTCAGGTTCCCCCAGTTTCCTCCAGGTGCCTCCAGGTTCCTCCAGGTCCCTTCAGGTTCCTTCGGGTTCCCCCAGTTTCCTCCAGGTGCCTCCAGGTTCCTCCAGGTCCCTTTAGGTCCCTTCAAGTTCATCCAGGTGCCTCTAGGTGCCTCCAGGTTCCTCCAGGTCCCTTCAGTTTCCTCCAGGTTCCTCCAGGTTCTTCTAGGTCCTTTCAGAGTCAGTCTGAGCTGAGATGTTGTGATGTTTCCTCAGAACACACTGATTCCAGCTCTGTGATCTTTATGTCCATGATTCTGTTTGTAGATGAAGATCCACACTGTGTTTCTCAGTGGGAGGTTTGTTCAGGAACCTCCAGCTGCCTCTGGGAGAAGATCCAGGTGTCAAAACACCAAACCAGCTTGACTCCTGGACACCAGCTGGAGATGTTCTGTTGAGAACCTTCACAGTCACTGGATACAAGCTCTTCATGGACACACTGGAAAAGTCCACCATCTCTGGTGTTGAAGAAGCTGATTAAGACCCACTTTCTTCCTCAGGTCATAAGACATGCTGGTCTTCTCCAACACCTCTCTGAAGAGGCTGAGAAGACCACGTCTCACCTCCTCCAGAAGTTCCTCCAGAAGACTTTAACCCAGTTTCTTGGCTTACTAATGCCCCTTATTTCGTCTTTATTTTTATCTTTATTTTATTTTGTTTTATTTTATTTATTTATTTTTATTTACATTTTTTCCTTATTTCTCTTGTGACTGGTGTCATGTGGAAACGTGTCCTGGTCTGACAATAAAGAATCCTTGAATCCTTGAACTAATGCTAACCTCTAGCTAATGCTAACCCCCAGCTAGTGCTAACCCCCAGGTAATGCTAACCCCTCCTGAATTGTCAGTGAAACCGTCCAATCAGACAGCTGCTCAGTGTGTGACAACAGGTGGAGTTCATGTGCAGCAGCGCTGCAGGTGTCCAGACTGACACACCTGTTCTACCCGTCAGTCTCTCTGCCTCCGCTACACAACTCCGGGAACCTCTCGTCCAGCTGTGTGGCTATTCAGGAGAAAAGTGCTGAACTTTCTCTCAATCCTGGCCGCTCAGACGCACCTGTCACCTGTACCACCGCTGTCACTCATTTTACCTGTCTGCTCTGTTTACACCTGGTTTGTCCACCTGTGGCCCGTGCAGCACGATCCAGCGGCTTCATGTCTCTTTGGCTCTCATTAACTCTATCTGACAGCTCAGGTGATTTATTCCAGCAGAATCGGATCAGTTCTGACTGCTGCCTTCAGAAACTCACCTGAGACCGTAACCTGAGTCCGTGTGTGTAACGTTTCAATAAGCAAATTTGTGCTGCATTTAATCTCGTGTGATTTTTTTTTACTATTTATCTTTTATTAGTTAGGACAGTGAGAGAGGAAAGGGGGGAGAAGAATGGGGAGAGACCTTGCAGCAAACTGTCGTGAGCGGGAATCGAACTCACGAACGCCGCGCCTGTTCATGGGTCGCCTGCTCAACCATGTGAGCTATTGGGGCGCCTGACAGGCGAACGATCCAGGAGCGGATCTGCAGCTGTTCTCAGTGTTTTATCGACCACGGAACACCTGTTGCTGCTCAGGACCACGTCTCCCTTCGCTGGATGCATCTTCAGATCAGCTTCATGAGTTTTATTATCATCAGAGCTGCAGTGCTCGCTGTCGTTCAGCAGGCGGCGCCGAGCAGCTCAGTGTCCTCCCACACGAAGCAGAAGAAGAAGAAGAGAAAGTCGACGACTTCTCGCGATCCTTCGCTCCGCGAGAGTTAGTTTCTTTGTGTGAAGTAGCTAACGTGCCCGCTTAGCTTAGCATCAACTCAACGTCCGTCCGCGGCTCGATACAGCACAGAATCCAGACCGAGTCCCCTGAGCAGCTACCTGTACAGGTAAGAAGGATGACGTCGGTCAGCAGAGTTAGCTCCTGCCGTTGGCATCAGCCGGCGCCGTTAGCCGATTAGCTTGTGTGAACGCGCGGTGCTAACACGCGGCTAATGTTAGCAGCTTTTAGCGGGTTGCAGCTCGGTACCGTCACCATGCACCGGTTCTGACTAGAAGCAGCTCACCTGTCCGTCTGCCCGTCCACAGGAGGGAAGTCGGTTCACTCAGCAGAAACCGTTAAAGACGTTCAACCAGCAGGTGTCGGTTTAACGTTAAAACTGCTGCAGCGACTACCGGCTGTCTCTATTATCGATTATTATGATTTTCTGGATCAATCGATCAGCTGCGTGGTTGTGAAACGTCTTTAAATGGTAAAAACGTGGATCAGAGTTTCCTCAAACGTCTCGTTTAGTCTAAAGATGTTCAGTTTAGTGTCCCAGAGGAAAGAAAGCAGAAAACATTCAAACGAACTGAATCAAGATTTATCGAGTATTTGACAAGTAATAGATCAATTATCCGGTCTAAACAGCTGCCAGTGTTCGGCTCATGGTTCTGTTTTCAACATAAATCTGTTGTTGTCTCTGAACGTTTAGAGTCCGTCTGAACCTTCAGCTGCTGGATGCGCAGACGTCGGTTTCTGTCAGACATTTGGTACAAACTTGTCTGTAAAGTGATCAGTTCAGTCCAAACCAATCAATCGGTTTGAATAACCACATGGGCTCTCCAGGCAGCGTCAGAGTGATACTTCACCTGCCGCCGTCCGATCACTTCTGCAGATGTGTCTGATTAAACTAATCAGACGCTTTCAGGAGTGTATTGATCTGTTGGTGTCCTGATCACTGACGGTCAGCTGGTTTCTTCCAGACGCAGCGATCCACCAAACGTCTCCATGGCACTAAGACGAGGACACATCAGGTACCTGAAGGTAAGTCTTATTATTGATCAATAATGATCAGGGTGTATCTGTGACAGAATGTTGATTTTTCTGATCATTTTCCTTCCAGCTGTGTTCATTTCATCACAACAGATCTGATCAAAAATATTAATTGACAACCGTTTTTGTCTCAACAAAGATGGAATAAACAACATCTCATGAGAGAGCTGCGGAAAAAAAGTTTGACATTTTAGTTGATGAATAAAAAATAAAAAAATGATGATCTGAGCGACGAGTTGTGGAGTCACTTCTTGTTGGTCAGTCAAGGTGATGTGTGTAACACCTGTGTGTGTGTGTGTTTCAGGTGTGCGAGGTTCAGTCGTCTCAGAGTGACGTCAGAGACGGACAGCTCGTTGCCAAAGGAGCCTCTGGGAAGGTGATGAATCGATCAGACTAGTTCAGCAGGTCCTTTAACTGCACTGACTGAAGGACCGACGTTTAAATCATACCTCAGTAAACTGAGTTTTCAAACTGGAAAACTTTATTGATAGAAACTGTTAATGAGACTAAAACTGTGACCTGGATGCTGAGAGCTGCAGGTGTATTGATGACGTCCTCATGCTGCTGATGTCACTTCCTCAGGAGCTGTACGACAACGGCTACAGCGAGCAGATGATGGAGGACGAAGACGCTCGGACCAACCTGATCGTCAACTACCTGCCGCAGAGCATGAGCCAGGACGAGCTGCGCAGCCTGTTCAGCAGCGTCGGAGATGTCGAGTCGGCCAAACTCATCAGGGACAAAGTGGCAGGTAACTCCTCGCAGTACTACTGCAGTACTGCAGCAGCGCTACTGCAGTTGTGCTGCTGCAGTACTGCTGCAGCTCTTCTGTAGTACTCTTATGGTACTACTGCAGTGCTGCAGAGCACTTAGAGCTGCAACGCTTCTCCTGCAGTACTACTGCAGTACTACTGACTGTCAGATTGCAGTACTACTACAGTACTACTGAGTGTCAGACTGCAGTACTACTGAGCAGACGATGCTGTATTGTAGTAATACTTAGGACCCACACCACAGTACTCCTGAGGTGTAGTAAGTACAACTACAACTACTGTAACCACTAAATGAAATTTACTTCACAGTACTGCGAGTCAGCCATGGATGAATCTGTTTTGCAATAGTAGTATCAGTAGTCGTACTCCGTTTGCAGTATTTTCTGTGTACTCTGATTCTTTGTTTTTTAATTTTTTGTTTTTTCAATGACGATCAGCTGATTTTTGTTTTTTATTTCATTTTTTTCTAACAAACTGATGTTTTTTGTTTTTAGGAAGATTTTGTACTTTTTGTCTGAACTGTTTGATTCTTTTTTTTCTCACCATGTTGTTGTTGTTGTTGTAATGCTTTTTTATTTTTCACACCAGGTTTAATGACAGTCTGAGTGTTAACAGGTACTTGATACTGATTGGTTCAGGCTGGGCGATGACATCACAACATTTTATTTGTGACACATGAGCAGATCAAACAAACCGATGCTGAATAAAATCACATCGACGTAAAACTCTTCAGATCAAAGATATTCCCTGATAACACAGAGCAGTACGACATCGCCCAACCTGTGATGAACTTTTTTTTAATATTTGATGTACAGATGTTTAAAACCTGTTTTCACCTGTTTCATTTTTTTTCAGGCTTTGACAATGTTTGTAAAACTGTTATGAAATGTATGAAGATCTGAAGTTTTTATTCTGAACAAGTCCAGAAAACTGTCGATTCATGTTTCTTTCTGCGTTGAATATTTCCTCAGAGTGAGCGCTTCTGTCAGATGTTCGCCTCCTCGCAGTGAGAACCGTAACATCTGCAGGTGTTCAGAGACTCACCTGAGCTGCTGCTGATCTGAGCGTGGTTTCGTTCTAATGTCTGCATTTAAGTTTGAACGTTGTCGTTTCGATGTTTGGGTCTAAATGTCGTTATTACAGTGATCTCTTCGTCGTTTTAATGTGAGCAGAAGTTTAATAGAACACTTTGGTTTGTCCTTCACACTGCCTGGCTGAGGATGTGTGAACGACCTCGTGAGTTTTCTGGGTTTGTTCAGAAGCACTGACTGTTTGACACTGTGGACTCTGCTGATTTGTGATCTGTACTCAGTTTGAACTCTGTTTGTTTGTTTCTCTGGCGGCTGTAACAGACAGTTTTGTTCTTTTATTTTGTTGTTTTCCTTTTGTGTTTCTCTAGGCCACAGTTTAGGTTACGGCTTTGTTAACTTTGTTAACCCTAGTGATGCAGAGAGGGCTATCAGTACCCTCAATGGCCTGAGGCTACAGTCTAAAACTATCAAGGTAACGTGCCACAGGTGCTCTGTGATTTTCCTGTCTCACCTGATAGATGTGTTATGTTCCCTGGACAGTAGAGGGCGCTCTCACCTGCAAACTGTCTGAAGGATGAAGGTATTTTTAAAGCTGTCATTTTTCTTTTCTTCTGACCCGGTAAATTCATTGTTTTTTAACGGACACATGTTGACACTGAATCTGTGAGTTTCTTCAGTTCAGTGAGACAAAGTGCCAAACTTTTATTTTCAAAAAGTAATGCTTTTATTTTGACAAATGCCTAATGATCTGAGCCTGTTTGGATGCTTTTATTTTGTCTTTTTGTTTCATTTTGTTTGGGACAAATCTGGATAACTGTTTTTTTTTTTGTTTGTTTGTTTTTTTTGTTTTTTTGACATTGAATATTTAGGCTTATTTAAATATCTGGATTTTATTTGAACACTGAATGTAACTGTTCATTTTATTTTGTTCAGTGTTGAAAGTTTTATTGTAAAATCTGTCTACATGTGAAGATGGCAAGCTCAGACTCTTCCTGTCGCCTCCCACAGGTTTCGTACGCTCGGCCGAGTTCGGACACCATCAAAGACGCCAACCTGTACATCAGCGGCCTGCCGAGGACGCTGAGCCAGCAGGACCTGGAGGACATGTTCGCCCACTATGGACACATCATCAACTCCAGGGTTCTGGTGGACCAGGCCTCCGGTACTGCACGTGCTCAGTGACAGCAGTCATGTGACCACTCACCTCATCCTGACTGACCTCTGCTCTCTGATTGGTTGTTTAGGTCTGTCTCGGGGCGTGGCCTTCATTCGCTTCGATAAGCGCGCCGAGGCCGAAGACGCCGTCAAACACCTGAACGGACACACGCCCCCTGGCAGCTCTGAGCCAATCACGGTCAAGTTCGCCGCCAACCCCAACCAGGCCAGGAACTCCCAGATGATGTCACAGATGTACCACGGCCAATCACGACGCTTCGGAGGCCCCGTCCACCATCAGGCGCAGAGGTTCAGGTATGCTCACCTACAAATAGAGTAATCAGATAGGAATGCAAATTGTAAACCGTTTTTTAACCTGATAGTTGGCAACTTCATCAATTAATATTAATTAACATGAATAAAGAAGAACGGACATTTTTTTTCAAACGCTGAAAGTTTCTCACCATGAATCAGTTCCATTAGCCAATCAGATCACAGGATACTACGACTGATCTACAACACATGATCTAGTAGCATCATCTGCTGCCTTATCACTGAGTTTATCTATTAGTGAAATTAGTAACGGCCATTTATTGAGTAACGATTGATCTTCAGCTTCTCTCCTGACTACTAAGATGCTGCATTCTGATTGGCTGTCAGCTGTCACTGTTTTAACTGTAGGACCTGATGCATCATCTCAACTTTTTGTTGTGAACAAATCCAAAAACTTTCAAGTCAGTTTTGGTGCCCGAATGCTTCCTCTGTCTCCTCCTGGCAGTAAGAGCGCCACCTGGTGTTCAGACAGAAGAACGTCACTCACATAGCTGCTGACTCAGCAGCTATGATCCAGAACACCTGCTGCACCTGCACGTGCACCGACTGATAGAAAATGTAGTGTAGAAGCAGAATCGTTTCAGTTTGGATTGAAGTGCCGCCTCTTGTGTCCCACAATGCAACACTGGAACATTCACAACAAGCTGTAGAACTTCAGAGCACCTGTGCACACAATAATCTTTGCAGACTTTTACCAGAACAGAAACATCAGGAGAACCAGCTGAACTCTCTTAACATCTGAAGTTCTTTGTATTGTTTGTCTGCTCTCCATCTGCCTTCCTGCTGCCCCCTCCCTTGGCCCGACCGCTCAAGGCAGACTGTTCTGTCAGACTCTGACAGTCAGAGGGTTTAGTGGTTCCTTCCCACCATTGCCAGCTGCTTCTCGAAGGGAATCCAAAGACAGTGTCTGAAACCTGTCAGGTTTTTACCTGCTATGTGAAGAGCTGTGAGATGACATGCTGTGAACTGGTGCTATATAAATAAAACTGAATTAAAGTTTTGCAAGACACAGAGTGAATGTGCTTCCTACAGTCATACAGGTGTTTGCAGGTGAACATCTTCTACATCCACATTAACGGTCCTGCCAGTCAGTTTCAGTGTCACGTTACAGCCTGAATGTAGTTTCAATCTGAGCGCTGCAGTGGGGCCTGATGGGAAACGCCTGCCGGTGACCTGATCTCACAGCTGATTGGTCGGGGTGTCTGAGTAACGTGATGTTCTGTAGGACCTGTCTGTCAGACGTCTCCTTCAGCAGCGCTGTGTCTGGTTGCAGGTTTTCTCCAATGAGCGTCGACCACATGGGTGGAGGAGGCGGAGTCTCGGGGAACGCGTCCTCCGGTTGGTGCATCTTCATCTACAATCTGGGCCAGGACGCCGATGAGGCCATCCTGTGGCAGATGTTCGGGCCGTTCGGCGCCGTCGTCAACGTGAAGGTGATCCGAGACTTCAACACCAACAAGTGCAAAGGCTTCGGTTTCGTCACCATGACGAACTACGAGGAGGCTGCCATGGCGATCCACAGCCTGAATGGGTACCGACTGGGCGACAAGGTGCTCCAGGTTTCCTTCAAGACCAGCAAGGGACACAAGTAGAGGGCGCAGTGGGCGGAGTCAGCGGGGCGGGGGGGTGGGGCACTGAAATATCGTAGTTTATGTTTTCGTCAGTTTTCAGTTGAAGTTGATTTTCTTTTGAGCATGCTCAGTTCCTTTATGACGTCGGCTCGTGGTTCTGAATGTTCGGACATTGGTCCACGATGGCGGGCTGACGGATGATTGACAGCTGCTGAAACAGGTTTTGCTGCATCAAACAGAACCCGCTCCGAGGTTCTGATGTTGGGTTTGTGTTTTGTGGAATGTTAAAGTGAAGAGTTTGGTTCTGCAGATGTTCACAGCTGCAGTCTGTTAGATGATTTAACGGTTTATTAATGAAAATGTGAAAAGCAGACGTGTCAGCTGTCTGGGCCAATAAGCAGTCAGGAGGCGGGGCTCCTGCTCTCCTGTAAACAGCAGCAGGTGAACAGGTAACTGTGACCTTTTTCATTTGGATTTTATTTTTGTATTGCAGCTTCATTGTGGTGTTGGATTGTTTATTCAGTAATAAATCTGTTCACGGAAAATTGGCATGGTCTTATTCCTTCCTGAGAAATAATCCATCAGACTAACAAAGTGATTCACAGAACAGAAGGGATGTCCTGATCAGTCTGGTTTGTTTCCCCCAGAAATTATCAGTCATTTAATTCTTATTTGCACAGAACTGATGCACATAATACACACTACATGCATCATATACCAGCTGTAGTACCTGGTTGTTCCACCAGGTGGAGCCTCTTCCTGTTTAATCCTGTAGAGACCAGAGGAGGCCTCACTCAAGACTACAGTTCATGTTGGCAGCAGAGAGCATTGTGAGAGTTTAGCAGCAACAGGACCATGACAGAATTAAGGTAGCACATATGTGTTAAGTTGGTCTCATGTGACAGCTAGCATCAGGGTTGCAGCGTCTAGTGCACAATTAAGAAACTTATGAAATGATATAAGTGGACAGTTCTGTGCTCAACAGCAAATAGGTCAAATGTACAATCTGGATTTGTGTTTTGTCAGTGCTACAAGAGATTCCAAAGAATGATGATGAAAACAGAAATTATCTAACATGAACTAATGTCTAATGTATTTCAACCTGAACACACTCCTGTAACTGTAAAAACACAGATGTGGATAAAAAGATCTGTTTAAGTAGTTAAATATCTGTAGCATGTCGAGACAAAAGAAAAACTAAACACATAAAAGAAAAATGAGACATAAAATAACCAGAGCAAGACTATTCAAATTACAAAAACTGAAACAAGTATTAATATAAATATATAATACCAATAAACAACAATACAAATGAAAATGTTCTGGATCAGCTCAGCAGCTCCTCAGCCAGCTGGTTGTAGTTCAGCTTTCGCAGGATTTCCTCAGTTACCTCCACAGCACCTTCAGCGTGGTACTGTTGGACCATCAAGTCTACGGTTCTGGTTCTGTCTGCGGCTTCCAGCCGAGAAGCAGGGATCGGGTCAGACCGTAGGTTCAGCAGGCCTTTGAAGGTTTTCAGATCCTCCGAACCGAGACGGTCCAGGATGTGAATCAGCCGCAGGGTCACATCCACCTCTAGAACTGGTGCTGCAGTGACACGACGCGCTCCCACTGGATCCACACAGGTAGTGCAGGTGTCTACAGGTAAGGCCAAGTTATTAGTATCCATGCTGAATTTTGATTGATTTATTGATCGACAGTGAATCTTTCAGGGACCAGCAGGTGTGTTCTGGTTAATGGTGTGACACTGAATGTGTTAGCGTGTTGCTGTGGTACCTCTCGGGTTGATGACTCGGCTCCAAACGTCACACTCTTGGGGGCCGAACAGCCAGGCCAGCAGAAGATGTGGAGTCACAACACTCCTCAGTTGCAGCCTCACCTCAGCGACATCGGCCGGAAGCTTCACCGCAAATGATGGCAGAAAGTTGTGGTAGTCGCTGAAGTTGATGAACTTTGACATCTGAAACCAAAACAACAAACAGTTTTTTTTCTTTTTAAATTCTTTGGAGGCCTGCAAGGTGGCTCGGTGGTTAGCACTGTCGCCTTGCAGCTAGAAGGTCGCCGGTTCACGCCCTTAGTCAGCTGGGATAGACTTCAGCCCTCTGTGACCTTAGTGAGGATTGAGGTGTATAGATGATGGATGGATATTTTTTGGCTTTATTAGATAGGACAGAGAGAGACAGAATGGGGGAAGGACCTGCAGCAAGGGGTCATGAGCAGGATTCAAACCCATGACCACTGCATCAGGGACTATAGCCCCTATACATGGGACGCCAGTTCAACCAGGTGAGCTATAGCGGCGCCCCAACGACGAACAGGTTTAATATTGAAGAAACAACGTTGTCGGTGAGCGATGGGTCACAGTAGCATACCTCTGGCTGGATGATAGCGACCGGCTCTCCGGACATCTTGTAAGTCTGATTCGGGATCAGTTCGCAGTCGGGTATCGCCTCCACGTACTCCGCCCCGATGCGACGCTTCCACTCCTTGCTCACCTGCACATCAGGTCAGACAGGTGAGTAATCAGAAACTCCCTGTGATCAATATCAGGTTGTTACTGCTGGTCTACCAGCTGCCTCAAAGCTGCAGATTTAACAGATTTTTTGTCCAATTTTAAAATCTGAACAACAAACTCAATTTTTGTTGAAGGTTTATGTTCAGTAACTCTCAGTGAATACAACTGTGCGCTGCAGAGTCCCAGAGAAGTCTGGTGGGGCGGGGCCTGTCTACGTGTCAGTCAGTGGGCAGGGCCTGTTTACCTTCGAGACGCAGATGTTCCTGGGCAGCAGCAGGACATACAGCATGGAGGTGGCTGGCTGAGAGAAGAGCAGCACCAGGCTGTGGATCGGTCTGTCAGACGCCGCCGGCTCCACCAGACCGAAACACGAGAAGCCAGAGATGTCAATGATCACGTAACCATCAGTCACCCGACCAGGTGTGATGAAGTCCACACAGTCCCCAGTGATGTGAGCGACAGACATGAAGTGCTTATCGAGATCTGCAGGACAAAACAACTTAAATAACGAACACCTCCAAACACAGCCGCAGATTCAGACCTGAAACTTCAACCGGTTACATGTTGGAGCAACACGAACACAACGCCCAGGTAACAGAGCTCAGATTTGGCTACTCGCAGCTTCTGTTCTGAAGTCTAAGGACGTCTTTATTTCGCTACACGTTTCTGCATTCATTTACCCTCTACCTTTACAAGCCTTCCAGGACTGCTGCTGAGAAGATCCACATGTCATGATGCTGCCACCACCATGCGTCACGTCATGATGCTACCACCACCAAACACACTGTCTAGCCTGATGGACAAAAAGCTCCATTTTGGTCTGCTCAGACCAAAGAACCTTCTTCCAGGTAACTTCAGGGTGTCCACATGTCCTCTGGTGAACTCTAGTCCAGATTTAATGTGAGCTTTTTCCAACAGAGTCTTTGTCTGTATGCAGAGTCTCCAGTGTGAGCAGGGCTTTAGAGGGCATTTTTTAATCTTTTCCCTTTAGGTTGTATTTCAAACCTTTCCTTCCTCATAATGTTTACATAGGGCCCAGTAAATGTAAAGATTCATGTCCTCAAACATGCCAGTCTCATTGCTAGTTGTACATTATTCAGAGTCAGGGTTACTTGTTTTCAGTACATTAAGCTGTTTCCTCTGTAAATTCCAGGGTCTAAAGCTTGATTTCAAGATAACTTGAGCATATTTTTCCTACATGCTGAGAAAATAGTTTTTAAATCTTTTCTTTGAATAAATCTCTGGGTTCTTTGAGACAAGATGATCTTCTTTAAAACCTGGGGAGGTAAAATGTTCTGCAATAATTGTGCTTATTTTATGCAACGTTTCTGTATTTTATTGCTCTTGTAGTTTAGCTGATCACTGACCCGACAGCAGCCGGCAGTGCGGCAGGTGGAGTCGGTTGAAACGTCCGGACAGAAGGGTGAACCTGAACAGAGGCCCGGCTGGCCTCAGGCCTTCAGAAGCCAAGAAGTCCAAATCCCACGGAACCATCTGATAGACCACATCACCGCAACCCTCCAACAGTAAACCAGTCAGACTGCAGTGGAACACAGCAGGCTGCCGGCAACGAAACCTGCAACACAACACGACAATAACAACCAGTCAGACTGCAGCACAACACACAAGGCTCTGGTTCTGTTGAGCCTCTGTTATGGTTCTGTTACAGTTCTACTTTGTTGTGGGTCTGTTCAGTTTTGGTTCTGTTGTGTTTTTGTAGTGGTTCCGATTGGTTTCAGACTGTTACCTGAACATGTCTCCGCTCTCATGAACTTCACATGTTATTTCCATCTAAACAGAACAAACAGGTGATCAATCAACAGCCAATCATCAGGCAGCATCACAGTGATGTCATAGAGGGGTCGTTACCGGCGCCACGTTAGTGGCCACTGTGATGTCAGACGAGTTCTGTGATGTCACTGCTGCTCCTCCTCCTTTCAGACAGACACCTGCAGCAAGATGACATCATCACCTGACCCCACTGAACCAATAACATCAATCTTCTATTGATCAGTTTTAACTGAAGCCATGTCCCATTTCAGAGGCTGTGTCCTTTGAAGGCTGCATTTGCATCATAGCGGCGCAACGAAGGCTGTCTCACTTCATTAAGACATGAGGAGTCCTTCAGATGCGTCCTTCTCTTCCGCGGCTGCAAAGGAAGCATCAGGTGGATCCTGAGCCTCATATCCCAACATTCACTGGTGACAGTTTGACCAGCAGCTGGAGTTTCAACTGCTCATAACTGACTGAAAAGACGATTTATCAGCAGCATAGTGTTTCAGCTCACTCCACCAGCGACGGTACAAATGTTAAAAACCAACAGACTTTAAAAACAGAAAACTTGTTTTAAAAAATCGATTAAGTTACGTGACACTGTTGATGTGAGCCGCTGCAGTTTGAAACATGTACTTTCCAGTTATACAGCTTCAGTGTTTGAGTTATATTTTACCAAGACTGTGGCAATTTTGTAATATTTTAGTTCATATTAGTGTGAATGTTAACACATTTAAACAAGCTGTGAATGCCTCTTGTTTTTCAGATAGTGTAGTACAACCGGACGGTACAAGCACCTCGGCTTATCAAGTATATGCAAAATATTAAAAACAAAAATCACAATTTTGGGATCCATTTCAGTCAAAAAATTTGGTAAAATTGCAACCATATCCTCATCCTTGGGATAAATATTCTGCAGTCCGGGTTGAGAGAACAGGAGCAGTGCTATGAGGCGTACGAGACGGCTGGAACGTCTCATTTAACAAATGCTCAGATGCAACCATACTTCGAAGGATGCAGCCTCTGAATTGGGACATGGCTTGTGTGTCAAAACAAGGTTAGCCTAGCTTAGCACAAAGACTGGCAGCAGAGGGAGGTGTTAGCGTAGCTTAGCACAAAGCCTGGGAGAACTTTTAGCATAGCTTAGGCGAGGGGAACTGTTAGCGTGGCTCACCAGTAGGGACCTGTTAGTGCAGCGTAGTCCAGAGGGGAACTGTTAGCTTAGCTTAGTTCAGGTTGTGTGGACATACGCAGTGCCGG